ATCATAGTCATGGCACTAGAATAAATACAAACAAACATCTAGTCATTCCTAGATGTTACAGTGAATTTTGTAAAAAATCCATCACTTTCTTGGGTTCCAAATTATACAATCTATTACCAAATAATATAAAAGCTAGAAACATAAATTCTTTTTCTAAATTGATAAAAACATACATAGTAGAGCATTATGGTGAATTTGTTAAGATTATGGAGAGCTAAATCAAAAGTAGGAAGTTGTATAGAGTTCGTCTTAAATAATTATATTGTCTTGATGTTTTATTTTCTCATTATATAAATAACATTTCTTTATGTATAACTTTTGTTCGCCCATACGGATGTTACCACATCTAGGGGCTAATTTGTACAATGAAAGATTTGGATTAGGTAGAGATATTGTATGCATATATTGTAATGATATTGTAATAATAAATAAATAAAAAATAAATAAATAAAATATTATTGGTTTGTGAGATATATAAGATTTGAAATATGGACTTTTCTTGAGAAAAATATACAATAAATTGATATTTGCCAGTCAAAATAATGACAGGTCAACATATTTTATGTCACTCACGAATGTTTATAGGTTATCCTAGCTTTCAAAGTATTGTTACACGACAATTCCACTCATGTATAAATAATCCCCTTTAAACTGTCAAAAATTATAGTTTGCTAGCGGATAAATAGGAAGGAAGAGAAAATATAACTGGATAAAAAAATCGGATAAATTTTCTGTTGATGCAATCGTTACCATAGTAAAAATTGCATATTAAATTGGTTTTTGAATCATATGTCAAATAATTGTCACAAAAATTCACAAATTCGACAATTTAGCCCCAATTTTAGCTTATTAAAAGTGTTTTGTTATCTGAAATAAATAAATATTTTATTTTGATTTTACATTCGTGGAATTGCCTACGATAATTTTTGTGCAAAAAAGTCCATCTTCCAACACATCGTCCGAACTCTAATATCTACAAGATTTGGTGCCATTTAAAGGTTGTTCAGAATTAAATTCTCTGACATATCAAAAAATCTATAGAACCCAAAAATCCCCATCCCCCTTTTAAATTTGAAATCCTCAGAAACAATTTTGACCTCTTGTGACTGGCTTACATAACATCATGTTACCGGAATTGTCAGATTGTCATTTTATTCCTAGGTAAAGCGAAATTACCAAAAAGCAACAACCTTGAATAAAACCAAGAGAATAATTTTACCTACATAATTTTTTCTTGAGTGGTATTCGTCATGACTACTTCACGTAAGATTTTGAAAATAAATAGAATGTAAAAATATGAATAAATACTTCAAATTAAAAATATCACTTTGGCAATGTCAAAAAATGGTCGCTGAAATACCATGTTGTTGGTATTGTCCAGGTAGCAATATTGTCAGCTGAATGCCGAATTTATTGCCGTTTGGTACTCTATGGTACTCTAGTCAGCACTGGTCAGCAGTGTAGGCACTCCATATGAAAGGATTCAAGCGTACATTTTCATGAAAGACAACCTGACACTTCAAATGGAAATAAAAAATTACAAAAATTATAAAATCACAGACATAACAAATGTAAGAAACACAAAAATATTGGAAAACAAACAAAAACAAGTTATAATAAATCATTTGTTGTATGGTGCGACGGTGCTAAATATTACTAATAAGCCCCAGATAGTTCCAGAGTCACGTATCCACACATGATTATATTCTTTTGTAAATTTGAAAGATATTAGGAGGATATTGCTATACATATACTCCACTCAGATCATCTGTATTAGTCTTTATATTCACTGTGTCATTTAAATTTATGTGGATCATTTTCCTCAATTTACGCTCATATGTTTGTGTTTGCGAATCAACAACTTCCACCTCACCTCACCTCACCAAACTTAAAGCTGTGGTTAGTCTCAAAACGGTGTTTTGATAATGCTAATGCTGTTTTATCTTTTATCTTTTTTTTTTTTGTTAATGTGACAATCATTCTTCTGTTGTATTCTTTTATCCAGGTTTTATATCTTTTCATCTATGTATCATTTTCCACATTAACATGGGATTTTGTAGACCAAAGAGTTCTTTTCACCCTGTGGTACCTTATCTTTGATATGTATGAACAGAGAATTTGTAGTTTTGAGGTTTTGAAAGCCTCAGATTTCTGAAAGCAGTTTTCAATTTTTTGCGAAAGGTCATCTATGGGGGGGAATTTAATAGTTATTTATGTATCAAGGGAATTATGAGGGTGTTAATACCCCAGGGCAAAGTTTTTGGCCCGAGGGACACCAATTGCCCGTGGGTATTAACACCTGATAATTCCCGTGGTACATAGATAATTTTATTTCCTACTGAATTTACTGTATTTCATCCATTTTTATAAAGAAATAAGCCATAAACCAAAATTTCTATTTTTTGTCAAAGTTTCACCTATTCAAGGTAAAAGCGGGAGTTATGGAAAAATTCTTAACTCCCTTGGGAGTTAAGGATTACAATAATTGTTCAAAATGTAGACCATTTACTTCAATGCAAAGATTACACCGTCGGGTCATTGACTGAAAAGTTTAGTCTATGAAACACCTGTTCGTAATGAGGAAGATCTGATAGCAAGGATACTGGCGAGTTGTACCCATGTAGAAGCTATTCCCGGAATATTCCAAAGAGTTCGCGAGTTGAACAATTATTGTGAACCATAATTTATTTGCTACTAAAGCAAAATTAATAAGTAAACAGCGATTTAATTATTGCGAAAAATAAAACTAGATACCAAACAGTTTTTTTGCTCTACAGCCCAAATGGCTCATTTGCGGACATATGTTTATATAAACAAAAATGCTTGTTTTGATGTGCCCTACTACCCCTTAAAGTTTGTCGGTATCTTTTTGGGACACCCTGTATATATTGCACCTAGATCACAGACAATCTGTATGTGCAAAAAAAAACAAATCTTACAGGTTAATTATTCTGGAATTTCATTCACTTATACAAAACTTTATTATACCTACAACCTGCAAGTTATAAGAAAACTGCAAATAAAAAGAAGAAACTAATAATAAATAAAGATAAGTCCTATAATTGGTGTATATAATTGGCTTACACTTTTTGGCAAATATATTGTACTTAGGTATATTTTTTATGCTTATTGGTAGGGAGTTGTATAGTCTTGGAGCTAGGCTCGTGGCAAATCTTTGGTTACCGTCTTTTCGGTAGAAAGGAACTACTAAATTTTGGTTTGATATTTGTCTGGTTTGGTATGTGTGCTCAAGTTTTGTTTGTAAATTTTTGTTTTTGTATAAAAAAAGGCAAATGTTATAGAAATACAGCATTCTTATACTTAGTACTTTCTCATTATACAGCTGGTCAGTTGGAAAACGTTTTTCTTTTTGAAATATAACCTTCAATATGTAATTTTGTACAACATTAAGAGGTTCTAGTGCACTAACATAGAGACCGCACCCCACACGACCATGGCGTACTGCAAGATGGATTCAACCAGTACTTTATAAATTGTTACAAAAAGATAGTTTTATTGTAATAAATACAAGTGCAGAAGTAATAAAAGACGACATGCGCGCACAACTAGTGGGTTGCAGTGTAGCCAGTTTGTATTGTTGCAGAACAAATGTAGACAATACAAATCGAACTTTATACCAATAAAAAAGTGATTTTTTACAACGTGTTTCACAACGCGTTAAATCAGACAAAAGAAGAGCTTTAAAGTGTATGTTAACATCGTTCACACTTTTATTTCGATAAATGTTTCATCCGGCAACATCGCACAATGAAAGTGCAAAGGAATATGTCAAGTATAATCTGACATAATTTTAAACAACACTATTCTATGAACAACACTACGGTGAGTTCAGAAGTAATACGTAAAGTATTAGTTTGCTCTTTGTCGAATTATACGTTACAAAGAAAGAAGGAACGATTAATTCTGAACTGGCTCCTGAATAAGAGTACGACGCAAGCCCGTAACAAACTCGTTTCTCATTGGACGCTCACCTGCAACCCACGAGTTGCGCGCGCAGTGAAGGTAAAAAAAGATAGGTCAATTGCGATGAATTTTGATGATGTACTACTCATCGGAGCTTATCAGTGATGAAATTCATCAGGAAAATCTGATGAGAAAAAAAAACGCACATAATTTTCTTTTTTTTTGACAATATCGTTGATTGTATAACTATCATATAGGAGGGCTTGAAAAAGGAAAAATATAGTTTCGAAACGTCGTCACAAACAGGTAGTTTCTTTTGATTACCTCCCTGTCCTTAAACCCAAGAAATTTCCACAAAAAAAAAAGCATATTTTGTGTAACTGAGCCAGCATTTGAAATAAATAAGGAAATTAACATTCCATTAATATTAATAATAAAGAATAAGTAAATATTAAATATGTAATACCCAATATGTAATAATAAATAAACATCAGACAGCAGTGAACAAAAAGTGAAGTTAAATAACGCTTTATTACAAATATTTGTCTTTTGTACAATTTACGTGACTGCAACATTATGACAGCACCGCGATTATATATATATACACAAATATGTATGTGTACCAAAAATTGAATCGTTTTGGGTAAAAACATTTGAATGCTAAGAGATTTTTACCCAGAGTTTGAAAAAAAATATATAATTTTAAAACACAAGTACCCTATTGAATGTGAAAAAAAAACATGTAAACTTCCCACTGTGTAGGTGAGTTAGTTAATTCTGAATCTCTTGCCAAAGCAGGCTTTCAAAATATCATAGAAGCTAGAGAGAGTTGCAAACAAAAAACTGCAAGGGCACAAGCTCTTTATGCAAAAAAAGCAATCCTTTCCAATTCAAAGTTGCATTGTTCTTCGATTTCACAATGCCTCAAAAGTACTATTTTTATTTTAGCCAAGCTAGACTTGTTAAGATACCTACTAAAGATGTTTGAAAAAAGCATGTTTTTGGTGTACCTCAGTTCCTATCAGAATACCGCTAGAATTGCTAAATAATCAAAGATGTACTAGAAAAAATCCTACCTTTGCCGCTCCTAGTGCTCCTCCTGAGCACTGCGCCGCTGCGGGTGAGCCTAGGGGGCTCGGGTGGTTCAGGCGCACCCGCACTGTTTGACGGCGCCGTCGGCCTGCTGGTGGTGGCGCTGGTACTACTCGATGCACCCAGCGCTACTAGTTCCCGTTTGCTTATTGCAGATCTGAAAATAATAAATTTACACTAATTATTCGAAACAACCACCATTATTTTGTTGCTGCTAAGATGTTGAAGAGTTATTTTTATACCTTTTCCAGTGTTGCTGCGACTGAGCAGATCCTGCCTGTGAAGTTTCAGCCTTAGAACTAGTAACTGTTGCAGGAATATTGATTGCAGTCGAGGAATAGCTTCTAGCGTGGCTACGTAGTGGATATTTGTGTACCTGGAAACACAACAACAAAAACCTATCAAATATACATCCAAGATTTACATTTTTAATAGTTACTAGCTGACCCGGCGAACTTCGTACCGCCTCTGAATTATTAAATACCTATTAAATGTTGTGTGAACATATCTATTAGCTGAATTAAATTCAGTTTTTTTCGATGGTGAATTTGGCTTTGGTTGAAAAAAATTAATGTTTACTCTCTGGATCAGAAGTCACCTAAAATTTAAGTTTTACATCATCCCTTTTTAGGCAGCTTGTGGGCATTCTTGTAAAGTGTACCATCAAATAAATAAACTCAGGCACAGGAATGTTCAAAGAATGTAAAAAAAACAAAAAAATCTCCAGCGCAGCCCTGATTCACTCTATCTGCACTGCACTACTCCATCTGTTCTACTCTATCTGCACTATTCTATCTGATCTACTCTTTCTGCACCACTCTATCTGATCGGAATAGTGGAATAGTTCTGTTCCGAATAGCTCCAGTTCCCGAGTAGCATTGTTCTACTGTATCTGCAATGAAATTACCGTGCAACGGCGAGCTTTGTTCTAGGTATCAGAGATAACGCCAGTATACGAAATGGTTTGCAATGAAAATGTGGCGGTAAACTTGGTATCGGTTATAAGACGGTGAGTTCGGCTATTCAGCGCGGAGTTGGAGTGGAGTGAACAGAGCTAATGGAGTGCGAATGGAGTCACTCCGAATGCACGGAGTGAGCAAGCCGAACTCACCCAGAGATGGCGCCGTATGCGGGCTTAGTGCATTTTTTTCATAAATAAGTAAAATAGGTAATTTTGTTTTTTGTCTTTTTTTTGGATTTTTTCGATTTATTATGTTAGTATAGACAAAAAAAAATCCAATAAAGCAAAAATCATAAAAATCAGTCCAGCTGTTCTCGAGTTATAAGTGCTAGAACTGCTAGAACCAACACAACTGTGTATGGTTTACACATACAGTGTATCCGAAATTCGAGTCACTATATGGGGATCTCGCTTATTATGAGAGATACAGGGTGGCTCAAATTAGGAAAGTTTTAAGGAATTTATTGTTTATTTATATCGTGTTGTTAAATTTGCTTCAAAGTTTTCTGTTTCCTAGAAATCCGAGAAAAACTGAAAATAGCCAATTTTGTTTTTTGTCAATAATTCATAAACCGTTAACTTTAGACTTTTCTAATTTTAACGAATTTCGAGTTGTTAACCAAAATTTTCTTATTTCTTATGGCGGCTATCTTAGATTTCAACAAAATAATATTCTGCGAAAAAAATCCTTTAAAATGATGCATTACAAGCTATGAAAAAGTTCTGCAAGTCCTTCAAAATACAGTTGGAACCGATTTTTTGCTAAATTTGGCAACACTGTTCATAAATATAAGAATAAAAGCAAATAAGTAATAAGTAAAGTCTGTTTTTTTTTAAAAGATAAAAGTCAAAATGACATTATGTTGGCAATACAATGTAAAATTGTCAATGCTTCAAATTTTTTTATGTAGAAAAGGCTTGTGCCAACATAAATATTTTGAATTTAATCCATGATTAAAAATTCCAATTAAATTTAATCTCCGGTTAAATTCAAAGTTGTTGTCAAATGATAGTTTACGAAAATCTAAGATAGGAACGTAAGATCGGTTTTCCTCTGAAATTAACCGTTTAGGTTTTACAGCCTGTCAAAGTTGCAAAAAGTCAATTTTCAACTGTCAATATTTCCAAAACAGTTGAACTTAGGTATAGGGTATATCACATAAAATCTGCTCAGAATTTTATGTAGAATCCAAATATGCAATTAAATACGGGGTGTTTCATTTAAAATAGCGATGTTGCCACTGGTTTAGAGGAGAAGCGGCAACACCGCATAAACAAAAATATTTTCAAAGTGTAGATCACGGTCATTTATCCTGGTTGCCAAATTTTCAAAATGATCCGCTTTTTAGTTCTCCATAAACGTCTAATACGCCATCCACCGTGGGACACTCTGTATGTGAATTTAATACTAAAATCAGTATGTATGTAAAATCAATCTTTCAGCAAAAATCACACATTATTTAAATGGGTTAAATGTCGACCATTAGCTCTGTGACATTTTCTGCAGTTGTCTAAAACCTTTCTGATTACGCGTCTTAGAGTATTTCAGTTTACAAAATTAAAGCAATTTTGCACTTTTTCTTCCAAAATATTCTAATTCTTGGCTGGATCATATTCCTAAACTTCATTTTTAATATGCCTCCATAAATAGAAATCCAAAGATGTAAGGTCCGGGGACCTCGCCGGCCAAGCCAATGGTCCACTATTTGAAATAACCCTATCTTCAAAATGGTTATCTAATAACATTCTAACATCCCTGGTATTGTGAGCTGGACAGCCGTCTTGTTGAAACCATAGCCGATTAAGTCATTGTTGGTTAGGTACAATATGTCGAATTGTAGGTATTATATTGTCCCTTAATAAAGTAAAAAGTAAGGTACGTGCACCATTTAAATTTTCATTGAAAATAAATGGACCAATTACAATACGCCCTAAGGGATAAAGATATTTGAAAAAATAGAATTTTTTTTTCTTTTCTACATAAAAAAATGTAAAGCATTGACAATTTCACATTGTATTGACTTTTATCTTTAAAAAAAAAAACAGATTTTACTTATTCGGTTCCAACTGTATTTTGAAGGACTTGCAAAACCTTTTCATAGCTTGTAATACATCATTAAGGATTTTTTTCACAGAATATTATTTTGTTGAAATCGAAGATGGCCGCCATAAGAAATAAGAAAATTTTGGTTAATAACTCGAAAACAAACGACGGTAGGAATGTTTTCAAATCACGAAAATATCCGTCTCCAAAAAGTGTCTTGATAATGTTAAAATTAGAAAAGTCTAAAGTTAACGGTTTATGAATTATTGACAAAAAACAAAATTGGCTATTTTCAGTTTTTCTCGGATTTCTAAGAAACAGAAAACTTTGAAGCAAATTTAACAACAGAATATAAATGAGCAATAAATTCCCTAAAACTTTCCTATTTTCGGATTTCGGACACACTGTATAGATAATAATGATAACAAAATGATCCTCCATTTATTGAATAATTCATTTATTACAAAAAATGTGATAAATGAAGAACCGCTCGACCTATTATGTGCAAACTTTACATAAACCATCTAATAAATAGTCCGAACAAAGCCTAAACATTTGGCTTGGCTAGGTGAGCCCGTTCTTGAGTTATAAAATTACAACGAAAAGTGGCATTAATTTTTATATACAGGGTGTCCCATGAAGCGTAACGGTCGGTCGGATTGATAGCATGTGTGTGCTTCGCTCCCAATGATAGTTTAAATAATGTCGTTAAAGTTCACTTTTATTTTTTGCATCTAGTATCATTGTATCGGTTAGAGTGTTTTCAATCTATTGGTGATAATTTTAAGTTCGTATCACTTGCTAATTACTAAATATTTACAAAAAAGTGAGTGTTAATATGTCATTCTGTGTACTCTGTAAAGAAACTATAAACACGCGCAAAAAAGTGTCCTGCAGTGAATGCAGGAATGTATCGCACGCCACTTGTATCCATAAGACTGCCGATGTTGCCAGTTTACTTTCGGACATCAAGGGTTTAGCCTGGAAGTGTAATGACTGTATCTCCAGGTGCATTTCTTTAGACAAGGATGCGTTAGTAAAAATGGTGCATGATCAAATTCAAAGTGCACTTTCTACATTTACTACCTCTTTTGAGAGTTTAAAAGATGATCTGGTCCATTTAGTTCTGAACAAATGTGGACAGACTCAGCAGAAAAGTGCTCCAGAAGCAACTGTTAGTTATTCCAAGGTGGTTAAAAACAATACCCAGCCTGCAGTTTTAATAACCCCAAAAAATCAGGCGCAAACAAATACTCAGACAAAACAGGACATTGCTGAAAATATTGATCCTGCAGAAACTCAGCTAAAAATTACTAAGGTCAAGGCGGTAAATCATGGCGGACTTTTGATTGGGTGCAAGAATCATGAAGAAAATATTCGGTTTAAACATCTTGCTGAACAAAAACTTGCTGATTCGTATGACATCAAAGAGCTTCGAGGAATAAATCCAAGAGTACGTATAGTGGGCTTCACAGACACCTATAATGAAGAAGATTTACTGAACATTATTAAGAAATTAAACGACGATGTTTTTTCAAATGATTCCACTTGTGAAATTGTAAAGATAAGTTAAACAAAGAAGAATACTACAATTTTTCAGGCTACTCTGCAGTTAGATCGGCGTACTTATGATCGCATAATGAAGATAGGTAATGTATTTGTAGGTTATGATGCATGTACAGTTTACGATGGAGTCCAAGTGAGTAGGTGTTACAATTGTAATGAGTTTAACCATTCTTCCAAAAATTGTAAAAAAAATGTGTCTTGTCCGAGATGCAGTGAAAATCACACTTTGAAAGAGTGCACAGCTCAAATTTTAAAATGCCCTAATTGTTTCGTACTAAATCGAGATAACCGCGACAACAATGTAAAATTTGACCATGCTGCTTGGGAGAATAATAAATGTTTCGCTTATCAATCGGCTTGCTCGCGGCTTAGATCGAATATCCTAAGCCAATAGCAATCACCATTTATCCCTACCCCGAGTCTGTCGATGCAGAAGGTTGCACTTGTACTGAATGGTACTGCCTCTAATAAAAATAGTAATTTTAATAATAGTAGTAAAACGAACTACGGACAGAAAAACGGTTCGATGTTGGTATACTACCAAAATACGCGGGGACTTCGCAGCAAAACACATGAAATATTTGAAAACGTATCTGCTTGCGATCTTGACTTGATAGCTTTAGCTGAGACCTGGCTTGATTCCTCTGTATATAGCAATGAATTGTTTCCAAATAACTTTAATGTTTTTCGCGCGGATAGAAATTATAGAGAACTAGGTAAAACCAGGGGTGGTGGCGTTTTATTGGCTGTTGATCAAAAATTTGCTTGTACAGTTTTAAATCTAGACAGGATTAAGGATATTTTGCCACACATTGACTTGTTAGGTGTTAAAATTGCCAGGGAACATTCTGCAATCTTTGTCTTTGTTTTGTATATACCTCCTCCGATATCTTTTAATGAGCTTGAAATTTTATTCGATTTTTTTGTTTCTTTGGAATATATTTTAGGAAGGAGCATTTGCATCCTGGGCGATTTCAATCTACCGAACTATGTGCATATGTTGGATGACAGTAGTATTCAAAATAACTGTCTCTTATTATTGAATAATTTTATGGAATTTTTCAATTTTTCGCAATGTAACTTTGTTAGGAACCAAAATGACAGGATCTTGGACCTTGTTTTTGTTAATAATGCAGGTTGTAGGGTGGAAAGGGCCGCTGATTTGCTTGTGCCGGAAGATAGTCACCACCCAGCTTTGACGTTACTTTTAAAAGTAGGGCTTTCCAGTAAATTTAAGCGCGACTTGGCCACAAATTACAATAATATGTTCAATTTTCGTAGAGCTGATTTCAATTATTTATATGATTTGTTTTTGCAGCAAGACTGGTCATTATTAGAAGACCTACAGACAGTTGAAGATGCGGCTGGGGCCTTTTACGATATTATACATTCTATGCTCGATTTGACAGTACCACGACATCGCTCAGTAACAAATAAAAAGAAATATCCTCCATGGTTTTCATTGAATATTATAAAAAATATCAAAGAAAAAGCTGCGTGTCACAGAAAGTACACGAAAACGGGAGATGTACATGCGCTTAACAGATTTAAAACACTTAGGTCGAACATAAAATTGGATATACAAACATCTTACGCAAGTTACATTTTAAAAATAGAGTCTGATATTACAAGTGACCCAAGGCGCTTCTGGAATTTTGTCAAAGGTAAGCGGGAGCTAGCTGGTTTGCCAAACTCCATGAGTTTTGAAGGACAGGTTTTGAGTAAGCCCGTGGAAATTTTAAACTCGTTCGCAAACTTTTTTAAACAGTCCTATTCTATTCCAGAGAGCAATAAATTAAATTTCAACAGTTCCACTTTTGATGATAGTCAGGTAATAAATATATCTTGTATAACAGAACAGGATGTCTCGAAGGCTATTAGTAAACTCAAATCCAAGCCCACCACTGGTCCAGACCTGATACCAGCATTTTTGATACATGATTGTCGATTTGTATTAACAAAACCTCTTCAAGTTTTATTTAACAAGTGCGTTAAGCAACAAACTTTACCCAGTCTATGGAAAAAGTCTAAAGTGTGTCCAGTTTTTAAAAAGGGTGACAAATCGGATATCCAGAATTACAGACCAGTTTCCATAATATGTAATTTTTTAAAGATTTTTGAGTTTATTTTGCATGATATAGTTTTTCCCAGAGTTAAAAATAAAATCGTGTCACAGCAACACGGATTTTTCAGGGACCGATCTACAACATCAAACCTTGTAATAACAACTCAATACATAGCTGAATCAATGGACGAAGGTTGTCAAACTGACGTCATATACTTGGATTTTTCCAAGGCTTTCGATAGATTGGACCACACGGTTTTGTTAGCTAAACTATATAAAATGGGTTTTTCTGATTCACTTGTAAACTTTTTTAAATGTTATCTCTCTAATCGTAGTCAATATGTAGCAATTAACGGCTTTCAGTCAGCAGAATATGCAGCTACTTCAGGGGTACCACAGGGCTCAGTCCTAGGTCCCCTCCTCTTTAATATTTTCATAAATGATATAGGCGAATTTCTTAGCATCAACTATTTATTGTATGCAGATGATGTAAAATTGTTTGCAAGGGTTAGGTCCATAGAAGATTGTTTAAATATGCAATCAAATTTAGAGCGGATTAATCTTTGGTGCAAAAATAATAATCTTCAAATTAATATTAAAAAGTGCAATATCGTGTCCTACACTAAAAAAACACAGCCAATTTACTTTAACTATAATCTAAACAGCGAGTATATTATACGGTCCGACACTTTTAAGGATCTGGGAGTTATATTTGATAACAAATTGTCGTTTACGGCACATTACAACTTTATAGTAACGGAATCGTCCAGAATGCTTGGATTTATAATGCGCTCTACCAAAGAGTTTAGCCAGATCGAAGCTGCGAAAATGCTATACTACAGTTTTGTTCGTTCTAAGCTAGAGTACGCAGCCGTTGTTTGGTCACCTGGTTATGCCTTACATATTTCTGATATAGAAGGTGTTCAAAGGAAATTTTTAAAATATATAAGTTTTAAACAAAATGGGGTTTACCCTCTTCAAGGGTGTGCACATAATGAGCTTTTAAATCAATTTAAGTTTACTGAATTAGAAAAGAGACGGGATCATTTTCAGCTGTTATTTTTATATAAGCTGGTCAATGGTAACATAGATTGTCCTTCTTTACTTCAGAAACTTAATTTTAAAATACCCCGTTTGAACTCTCGTGTAGGGGGCACCTTTTACTTGGAGACTCCTCATACAAACGTTCTCAAATTCTCGCCTTTACATGCAATGTGTGACAAATACAATAATTCAACTGAGCTTGACCTTTTCCATGATAGTTTGAAATGCTTTAAAAAAAAATTGTAGTTTACTTTTTTTTTTTTGTTTTTTTTTGCTTGTCTAATTTATCTAATTTGTTTAACTTGCATAGATTTGTATGTTTTTATGATTTATGTTATTACCTACTGTAGATATTTACACATTTATATAAGATAATTTCTGCTATACTGTCTTGTAATTGGGTTTTACCTGTAGGGCAGTTTTTTGTAAATAAATAAATAAATAAATAAATGACGTTTCTCCCAGGTAATAACTTCGGAACGCGTCATCCAATATAATTGAAATTTTCAGGATCTGGGAAACTTTTTGTACCGCTTCTACCATTGTCATCCAATTTCATCAGTTTCGCTTCAATGTCGGTCAAGTGACGTCATCTTTCGAATCTTGTAACTCATGGTATATTATGGCATTTTTCGTTAGAAAATTAAATAACAAAATCGGCAATGCCATATTTGTTGAGGCTTTGGTAAAGAAATTGATAAAAAATTATACATTGGAACATACGATGATGCGTTCCGAAGTTATCATTTGGGAGAAACCTCGTGGGACACCCTGTATATAGATTTGTAGGCAAGATAATCTCGAGGACGCTAAAAGGTTTCGCGATCATGGTATAGACACTATTTTTTGTGCAACTATAAAAATTATATAAAGTTACAGGAAAAAATAATTAATAAAAATTGGCTTTGTTGGGAGGCATTTAAAGATTTTTTCAATGTTATATCTATGAATTTTCATAATTTATATTTTAATTAAATTCTAGCTAATTATTAACTATAAAGTAAAAATAAAAACAATATACATTTATACAGGGTGATTTACTTAGCTCAAGCATTAGTTTGCAGGTGAATTAGATGATATTTCTAATAATCCACCTGCAAACTGTACAACTTCTAATGCACGGGCTACGGAATTCACGATGTATACTCAGCACTACAATTGTTTTTCATAGAGAAATAATTATTAAACACTTACTTGCGGATATGTATTATTGTTTGAACTTGATGTACTGGCTTCCGAATCTACCTCCAATCCTACAGTATGATTTAATCTTACGCTAAGACTATTATTAGTACTTGATCGAGTCTTGTGTTTATCTTTCTTGCTTTTGTGCTTCCCCGATTTGCCTTCTTTAGCTTCTTCTTTACGGGAGCTGCTCTTGTCCCGTTTACTGTCTTTGCCTTTCGCCTCCAAGACAGCGGCTTCCTTATTCTTTCTATCTTTTTTCACTTTGTCCTCCTGTTTACTTTTAGATTTGGATCTATCTTGCGAAGTACTCTTTTTTAGCTTGTCCTTGCTAGAGCCCTCCAATGAGGTTGAAGGTTTCGATAGCAATATTATCTTGACGTTGTCTTTGTGATCTTTCTTTTCTTTTTCTGATTTCAGCTTTTTTCTCGTCTTATGTTCGGGCCCCTCAATGTCTAACGGTGTTATATCAACCGGATTGGATCTAGAAGATCTCCGAGAGTAAACTACGTTGGTGCTGCTGGGCTTTTTCTCTTTTGAAGAGGAAGCAGCGGAGGCTGGATTCTCTTGGGATTTGGACCGCGAATGCGAGCGGTCTCTTTTGTTTGTCGATGTTTGGGATTTTGTGGGCTTAACCTGGAAGTTGAATGTAATAATAATTATTAAATTTTTATTATGCAGTTTACCTTATCTTAAATGAAATAGGTTGTCAAGATACAAAGATAACTTTTTTAAATGCATATGAAAATACTCAAAGCCAAAACATATTGATTGTTTTTCTTTATCTAGTTAAAGCCAATTAATCATAAAATTACAAAAAAAAAAAACTAGATGTGGATTGCCTTTTCAAAATATCAACAGAGAAACAGTTTGGAGGGTCAATAAGTTGGTACATTCAACTGGTGCAACTTGCATCTAATTATCAAGATTTTATCAAACTTCTATATAGTTTTTGTTAGTTGCTCTAAAAGTTGAATCTATTAGATAAACCTACCTTAGTAGTACTATTCCTAGTAACAGCCGAGGAAGAATTGTGTCTGCCCTGCGAGCTGTTGTCGTCTGAGGTCCGAAGGCGCTTGGCCTCGGATCGCAGCTGCGTTTGCTGCACACGCTTGCGGCGGCTAGTGCTGGCAGCAGCGAGACAGTTAGCTGGATCTGCCATAGACGAAGCGTTCTAAGCTCCTACACTTACCGAAGACACTCATTCCCTTGGGATTCAACTTGCTTTGTTTTCTTCAGGCTCAGCTGGAAAGACATTTGTAGAATTATTTAGTTATCAACTTGACAATTTGGATTATAGGCTGGTGGAATTTGGCATTTTCGCCAAGCGACCCTGATTTATGAGAGGCAGGTTTTGGCGTTGACTTGGTTTATTTTTTCAATTAGTCCATACAAAGAAGAAACAAGAAAGTGCATTCTTTAGTTTATCTTCTACAGAACCAGTACACAAATTATGGACTTTGAATAGGTGCTATGAAAGAATATTATTCATGGAACGTCTCACCATGAGTACCTAATAATTTCAGAACAAAACACACAAAACGAAGGTGGGTTTAAATCCTAAATTAAATAAAATGGCTGTTAGAACCCACCTTGCGATTATTTCATAAGACGATTTATGTTTATCTTGTGAGAACTGCCTCAATTTCAGTTATGTTAGTGAAATAATAACTTTCTAAACGTATTCCTGGTTTTACTTTTCTAGATTTAGGGGGAGCTAGGTAATTGGGTTATACAGAGGGAGTTTTAAGTTCAATTATACGAGGGGTCAACCACATCTGAGAATTCCTGGACATTTTAGAGGGAATAACATAGGAATACAATGGGTATACTTATGATCAGTTGGGAATACATTTATGTTATCTAGGAATACTTATCAATACAGGAGGAAAAGTGGGAATACATGGGAATATAGTTGGGAATACATACGTTGATGCGCATCTGACAATATTAAACCAATCATCGTATGCCATCACGGCCCAGATGACGTCAAGGAGATATGAAGTCGTCTGACGGCATCTTGTATTTTAATTTGCATCATTTGTAATTCGTAAAATTTAACCATCACTTATACAAAGTTCATCCAATTTCTTAATTCTCAAATTTTAATCTGTCTTCTCTGTTTTTTTTTTTTTTTAAATTTTTTAATCTTCAAATTCCAAATTTGCATAATAGTCTGGTTAAACGTAAGAAGTGAAAAACTATTGATTCATGTCTAGTGATTCCAGAGAATTGCGTTTTATCTGTTAAACTGCTCATCATTTTTGTATTTGTGTTGTTCCTCAATTTGTAAAAGTTAAAAGTTGTGAACTTTTCAAGGTTCTCAAAAATTAAATTGGGAAATAAGCATTTGGATGAACGCCCTCATTCAAAAAGACGTTGCTAACTTCCTATGTCATAATATACAGGTTGATCCATTTGAAATAACAAATTTTCTGACATGTCCCGAAAAACGAAAGATCTGACAACCATGTAAATACTACCATATTATCGGTCATATATTACAATACTCTTTCAAACCAAAATTAATGAAAATGATACCCAATGTGAATTACTGTGAATAAAGTTGAATTGAATTCCCAATAATATGTTTTGTATGGAAAACAACTAGCGTCTTTCAACAGGAACTTATCAAAAAATTCAACAAGTAATGCTTTTGACCCTTTTTCTTGAGATTAAAAACTGGAATAAGCCAAATTGTTTTGGAAGCAGCGGATAACATGAGTCCTTAGATCAATAAAAATAAATGTTTTGATGAAATACATTATTTTCGAAACTTCTAAGAATAAATATAATTTGATCTACAATTTTCAAATAAAGGAATACGAGTATCCATATTTGAATATTAGCGTCTCATGAATAAGGGATGTTTTATGCCTTCATTATGAAGCATGTAACTGTATTATGTAGATCGAATCCAGTTTGGCTAATTCGAGGAGTGCTTTCCCTAGACTCCTTAGTTTTATGTTATAATAAGAAGAAGAAGGAATTTGAGAAATCAAAAACCCCCTTCATTTTCTATGTTTTCCACTAAGTATTCTTGAAATATTTCAACAAAACACTTAATTGGAGCACGTCTCTACATATATGTATATTTCATCATATTCTAATTTCATGAATAGGATAGTTATTATCTATAATACAACTACTCATCCGAAAAAAAATTTCACTCAAACAAAAATATCACAATACCAAAATCAATCAACTTACATTATGATTTAATTATATTATAAGCTATACCTAGAACTGAATAACAAATTAAAAAAATATATACATACAGGGTGAGTTACTAAGCGCTCGGTGGTCCATATCTCCTAGACTAACGGGGATCGGAGAAGAAACTAAATACAAAACTTGTAGATAAACATGGGTACTACATTCCTAAATTATTTTCCAGTATACAGGGTGGACCAATAACTAGTTTTGACACAAAATTATGTTTTTTTAAATGACTCCCCCTGTACATTATAACATTTCTGGATTCTGCGGAAAATTCTAGACATATTTCATGTACAATGTCATATACCTTCAACTGTTTCGGAAATATTGACATTTGAAAACCGACTTTTTTTGCATCTTTGACAGACTGTAACACCTGAACTAGGGTTGCCAGATACCTGACTTTTGAAAATAGGAGACCCTGTATAAAATTATATGAGATTGGATAATAATATATGAGAATATTTTATGTACCTACTGCAAAATGCCAAAATCCAAAAAAGCTCTCATCTTGACAAATCGCTATGATTTTTAGCAGATTTTGGAATGTACGTATTGCTGGACATTTTTTTAGGTAGTTAGATGCGCCTCCTCCTGATCCGTCAGTCTCATTTCTTGTAACAAGTCGTCGACAACACCTTGAGTTTTTTGATATTTAAACAAATCCGTCACGAAAAAGTTGAAAATATTCGGATAAAAAGTGGCGGGAAATTTTTCAGCCAATAGGAGCTCCGTCGTACCATCGGATGGTCGGATAATGGACGCATGACACTACAGCCTATCACGTGTTCGGTAGTGATAATAGTGATATAGATGGTTCCTTTTTTTTTTTGAATAAAATACAGGGTGTCCCACGACGTTTTTCCCAGGTAAAACTACAGAACGTGTCATCCAATATAGTTAGAATTTTGAGGAACATACAGTAAACAAAGTTATACAAACTTTGTTTGCCGCTTCTACCATTGTCATCCAATTACACCAGTTTCGCTTCAATTTTGGCCAAGTGACAACAACTTTCGAATTTTAAATGTAACTCATGGTATATTATGACATTTTTCGTTAGAAAATTAAATTGCAAAATCGGCAATGCCATATTTGTTAAGGCTTTGTTAAAGAAAATGATAAAAAATTATACAGTGGAACATACGATGATGCGTCCCGAAGTTGTCATTTGGGAAAAACCTCGTGAGACACCCTGTATATTAGAAATAGTATCATATTAAACATGCTAATATGAGATATGAGAAACAGTTAAAATATATGAGTCTAATATTAAAAATAGGAGGTCTGGCAACCCTAACCTGAACGGTTAATTTTAGAAGAAAACGGATTTCACATTCCTATCTTAGTTTTTCATAAACTAGCATTTGGCACCAATCTTGAATTTAGTCCATGATTAAAAATTCCGCCTAAATTAATAATCTTCGGTTAAATTCAAATTTGGTGTCAAATGATAGCTTATGAAAATCTAAGATAGGAATGTGAAATCCGTTTTCCTCTAAAATTAACCGTTTAGGTTTCACAGTCTGTTAAAGATGCAAAAAAGTCAATTTTCAACTGTCAATATTTCCGAAATAGTTAAAGTTAGGTATATGACATTATAAATGAAATATGTCTAGAATTAACCGTAGAATCTAAAAATGTCATAATATACAGGGAGAGTCTTTTAAAAAAACATAACTTTGTATCACTACTAGTTATTGGGCCACCCTGTATACTGGAAAATAACTTATGTTTATCTACAAGATTTGTATTTAGTTTTTTCTCCGATCTCCGTTAGTATAGGAGATATGGACCACCGCGCGCTTAGTAACTCACCCTGTATATTCCAAAAGCTAAGTACAATAATTTCCTTAGAGCCGATACTTTTGCTCTCGATTAACGAATTTGATACGTTGTTAAAGTTTTGCATGGGCCAAGGTCTATAAGTATATTGTGGTTAGAGCACATTCAAACCCCTGATTATTTTTAACGGCTGTCAAATTAGAGCAAAAGTACCAGCACTTAGTAAGTAAAGTATAAAGTAGTAAAGTATATATTATGATGTACAATTAAGTAAGACGAGTATGTTTATGTTTTTTAATGTTAATTCTCTTCTTAACACTGATTGTTTTAATTATCATAGCAATGGTATGCATATGCGACATCCTGCAAAACTTAAAATATGTGACTATCTAAAGGATTTTATTTTTTTTTAAAAATCTAACAGAGAACAAAACGATGTTACGATAGCGCCTTCCAATATTTCAAATGAAAATAATTTTTTAGGGATGTAAAAAACTCCGTTTTGCTTTTAAATTCTCAAAGCCTGCTTGCTAAATTTGAAGAAATATAAAGGGCTATTTTTAGTTCGAAACCGTTAGCAGTTTGTTTGACAGAAACTAGAATAATAGCTGATATTAGGAATAATGAGATATTTATTAGTGGTTACCAAATTGTTAGATGTGATAGTCACAGCAGACACACAGGAGGTGTTTTATTCTGTCAGAAATGATATCCAGATTTTTGAAAAGGAGGTGTTTGTGCTAGGTAAAAATTATTGGCCGCCACGTATTGACATATCAATCCAAAAAAAGTACTATACTCTTGTAGGTATTTATCATTCTCCAAGTAGTAGTGACGCAGAATTCTTAGATAGTTTCAATACCTGGTGTCTCCAAAGTTCTAACTTCTCTAAGCATACAATCATTTTGGGCGATTTTAATATTAACTGGCTGCAAGCTAATACATATAAAGTAAGATTAGAAAAAACTATGGCTGATTTAGGATTTATTCAGACAGTTGACAATATCACTCACCCTGAGGACTCGGCAGGTAGTATAATTGATTTGGCGTTCTGTAACTTTGAGAGAATTGATGGTAGGGTTGATGTTATTGAAACACCGATGATAACAGATCACTGTATAGTCAAAATTGGTCTACATATGCACCAGAGTAGTGATATAACGAGTGACAGGCAAATTATTTCCCGTGGTAAAATAGACTATGACGAAATGAATCGGAAACTTTCTTTAATAGAGTGGCGG